AGAGAGAGAGAGAGAGAGAGAGAGAGAGAGAGAGAGAGAGAGAGAGAGAGAGAGAGAGAGAGAGCTTGGTGACATTGGATCCAGACTCGACATGGGACTTCAGACATTTTGAAGAGGGATTATTTGGGACTTGTAATGAGACTTGGTGTTGACGACTTTCCCATCTCCCCCTTCCTCTTCTTCGTCTGATCCCTTCCTCTTCGTCTGTGTATGTCGGGACCTGGCGCCTCTTTCCTGTGTATAGCGCCAGGCCCCATCACACTTTGTGATGAGCATGATGTATGTTTGGTCTGCGTTGAAACATCGATTGGGCTAGTCATTAGTACTCTAGCATTCTGCTTCGCTATCTTGTGCTACGTGAAAGAGGTCAGTCCCGGTCAGGTCAGGACTTGTATCTAAGTCTTCCACTGCGCTATAAAGCACCTTTTGTATGTATCGGAATGCACATTGCTTGTTGAGATTCCACTTGCACTGCATTGTCCATTCAGTCCTTTTTATCACATTGCGGATCCTCGGTTATTATGTGCATCGCCCAACTGGGCATGTAACAGCACCCCTGGTCCCGGCTCTGGAGCCCCCCCCCAAAAAAAAATAAAAAAATAATAATAATAAAAAGTAAAAAAAAAAAAAAAAAAATAGTGGGGGGTGCGCAGCGAGAGCACGCACCCTGTGGGCTAACCCCAAAAATTGGGGTTTTGTGCCCCACCTCGCCCCCCCGGGGCCACACCCATTGTTAAGCACATCTATTATTGAAGTTTAACATCCACTTTCTGCAGTGATGCTACCAATTTTCTTGGATAAACTTTGGAGCCTAATCCGCATTCGGTCACTACTACGAACGGAGCCTCGGTTGATGTGATTTCTTTCAGCTACTTAGATGTTTCAGTTCAGTAAGTCAACTGAAACATCTAAGTAGCTTAAGGAAAGCATATCCATCAAGAGTCCATTAGTAGTGGCTAGTGAACACAGATTAGATCTGAATACCATTCAAGCAAATTAGAAAGGACTGGAAAGTCTTGGCAGAGAAGGTGATAGCCCTGTATATTCGCCCAACGGTTTTCATTTCAAGAGGTAAAACACACTATGTTTGAGTGGACAAGTAGAGTAGATCATCAGGCTCATCAGAGGCATGCAGAAAGAGTCTCTGACCTCTTGGTCTTATCAGATGTCACAGTTGTTTACTCAAGTTTTTTCAGTATGATGCCTGACCCGGTTTCAGCAGGTGTTGCCCCCCACCAATAGATGGGGCCAGGCCCGCAGCACCAGCGGTGTCTGCTTCTCTATCAGCACCACTAGTGACTGCAGGTGCAAGGAAAATGAGCAATAGCAAATGACAGAATTCCGGATTGCGATATCACACTGAAAGCCAGATAGTCGAGAGCTGTCCAGAAAGCTGAAATGCACTGACGTCACACTGAAGGAGAACCAAAGCAGCGAACTCAATTGTCAATGAAAGCATACTCTCGCCACGACCAACAATGTAATCAAAGCTCTTCCTCCTACTGGCGCTCAGTGCCCAGACTACGATCCTACAGCTACTAGGCTATCCTACTCAAATGACAAAGTAACCAGTTGACATCAGCAGCAGCCACCTGTGTACATGCAGATGTTGCTCATGCAGACCTCCGCGAGGACCAGGTACGTGGTGTCACATCACCTCCCCACTCGCCATCTACATGCTCACCCTCTGCACCAAGGTCCACCGCCGAACCCCGCTGCTAAGTCCAAGCTCTAGCCCGCCTATGGAGGCTGAGCTATGGTGCTGCCTTCTTGCATAGCCCTCTTCCCACGACCACGCGCGTTCTTGCACTTAGCACGCAGCTAGCAGGTGCTAGCACTCGCTCAAGCAGCGCTGCCACATGCACCTCCAATTGCCCGAATGCCTGACTCACGGCCAGGCCCTTTGCTATATGCGAAGTGCGCTGGCCCAACCACCCAATCGTAAACGTGAGGTGTTCCCTGCTTTCACTGCATTGCCAAAAGAGCCTGGAAGGCTCATGAATGTTTCTGATTTTCACAAGCAGGGCGGATGTAACCAACTGGCGCATGGCAACTGTCTGGCGCCCATTAAGGCTTTGCAAATTTGACAAATTCAGGCCTCATTGAGATTCGGGGGCTTGCCTTCACTTAGGGCAGGCACATGCTTGCTTGTAGGGGGCTTAAAATCCTCGCACTCCCTCCTCCTTTACTTCGATAGTCCTCTGAGAAGTCTTCAATCGGCAGACTGCTTCCCTTTCAGTTTTCTTTCATATCCAGAAATAACTTGTTGTGCAGTCTTCATCAACTCTTCTCTTGTGAACCACCGATTTCCCTTTGGATCAACGTGATGTCTGAACCACACTCGATACTGCATCTGCGGTTTCAGAGGTCGACCCCTGCCTGGAAGCTGGGGAACAGGCACCACCTTGTGTTCGATGATATTGTCGATGTTAACGTGTCTATCCATGGTTGGGGGCAGCGTTGACCTCCATGAAGGGAACCTGTCAGTCTCTGCAAAAGGAGCAAGTTTGGAGGCATGGAAAACAGGGTGTGTACATAAGTGACCAGGGATACGAATGACATACGAAGGACTGCCCGGTTGATCTCCCACTATCTCCAAAACTTCCCATGGTCCAAATTACTGCGGCATGAGCTTCCTAGATATACCAACTTCCTGTTCCAGTTCAGATGACTTAACCCCTACCCTTTCCCCTACTTGGAATGCAGATGGCCGTCTGTGCCTGTTCTCAGATGCTACCATAGCGTCCTGAGCTTTCCTAATCTGTTTGACAGCCTGCTACAGCACCTGATCATATTTGCCAGCGAATTCTATGCTGCCAGGTGCTGCTGTGGGCTGGTTCTCTGGCAGCAGAAGATCAAGTGCTGATCTAGGCATCCAACCAAGATACAGCTGGTTGAGAGTCATGCCGGTAGTGTTGTGTACAGCGTTATTGTACATGCTGGCGATGAGAGGTAACTTCTCATCCCACTTGTCCTGGCTCGGCTTGATGTAATGCCTGAGCAAGTGCTGCACTATGCGGTTCATTTCCTCAGCCTGGCCATTAGACTCAGGGCGATTCCCTGACGTCATCTGCTGGGCCATGCTTTGCCACAGTTCACTTGTGAATCTGACATCCCTGTCACTAATTATGGACTTAGGAAGACCAAAGTCACGCACCTAATTATCCATAAACAGTTTGATCACGTGGTCAGTTTTCGCGGTCTCAGGCAAGCCAATCAGTCTAGCGTACTTACTAAATCTATCCACGATGACAAAGATGTGTCGTTTACCGCTTTTACTGGTCACGAGAGTACCCATGAAATCCATGGACGCACTTTGATCGGAGCCAGCAGGGATAGGCAAGGGCTTCATAAGCCCAAGTGGTGCCTGCGTCCTTGGTTTGTCACG